GTAATTCTCCCTCCCGTGCTGCGGTGGCGCTAAACCTATTTTGCCCTCCTACCTCACTTCCTGGTTATACTCTTACAGCAGTGTGTTGCAGTGAGCTTGATGCAGACATTTTTAAATTATGCTCAGTATTGAAGCGTGGTCTGTGCTACACGCTGTGGGTCTAGATACGGATGAGGTGGTGAGGAAGTGGGGGCGAGTTTAGTCCGACGACGGAGGGACATGAGGGCCAAAAAGAGCGGAGATCCAGGTGGAAAAAGGGTCCCAGCGTTCTCGCGCACCTCGCTCTTCTAGCGGGTCAAACTTCACGAATTGTTTTCCGCAATTTCAGTCATAAAAACAAAACAAGCCGGCCTCCTGTCTGCAGCACTGTCTGCGGTCAGCTACAATTTGGGAGAGGTGCAGCGGAGCGTCTGTGGAGGGGGGCGGGACGTCTGGAGCCGAGGTATTGAATTGCACTCATTTTGTGCAGTATTTTTGCAGTATTTTTTCATGCAACTTTTCTACTTCTGTTATTTGCTGTTGTTTCTCAAAAAGATGCATAACAATATTACAGCTTTCATTGATTTATTTCAAATTTGAAACATTGTCTAGCCTGTAAGGTTAAAAAAATAAAATAAAAAATTAACCTATTAATCGAATCGTATCTTGGTGTATTCTTGAGTATTGAAAATAATCGAATCGTTGGGTCAGGAAATCGATACTGAATCGAATCGCCATGATGGATGTGATTTGCACCAGGGGAGATCGCTCCTTTCAGGCGGTCGCACCGGCGCTCTGGAACGATCTTCCGCTTTCCTTGCGCTTACTTTATTCTGTTGAGGTTTTAAGAGCGAACTGAAAACTTGTTTAGGAAAGCATTTAATTATAGTACATTAAGGGTCGTTTTATGACCATGTGTTTTGTGACTGTAAATGTATTTTTATTTGTATTGTAATTTTATGAAGCACTTTGTGACCTCTATGTCTGTGAAAGGTGCTATATAAACAAACATTACTTATTTTCTTACTAGATCTCATTCTTTGCATTAGCTCTTAGCTTCATAAAGTAGTTTTTTTGTTTCTGACTGACTCAAAAAATATTTGAAATCTACTTTAATAATCCTAAACAGAACTAATTGGTATTCCAGCTCATATCATAGGTTTGTGTCGATGTAAATAGCTGTAGGCATGAAGGATCTCCTGTAGCTGCCAGGGATCGAGAGATGCCTCTGATTTAAGACACTTTGATGTTAATCCAAAGCCTGATGAAGAGAATGCTCAGGGTTTTCCATAATGTTCATTTTCTTCTGTTGAAATCGTCTCCAGAGGTTCTAGAGAAGTTATTAGAACAGAGCCAGCTGTCTTTATAAGTATGTTGAGCTTCTTTAGGTTCTTTGCTCTGATGCTGTTACTCCAGCACATGATGGCAGAAATCACACTCTCCACAAGGGCCTGATAGAAGATCTGCAGCATCTTGCAGCAAAGACTGAAGGATCTAAGGTCCCTATGGAAGTCCAGTCTGCTCATTCCCTTCTTGTGTCTCCAGTCTAGTTTATTGTCCAGGTGAAACCAAAGTATTTATACTCCTCCCCCACCTCTATTTCTTCCCCCACGATGTTAAAGGGGAACACCATTTTTTTTTTTTTTACATTGGGCCCTTGATTTTACGTTATTCCATCATGTTCATACACAAAACTCATATGGGTGAGTAGAATGTATGCATGATGTAATAACGTAAAATCAAGGGCCCAATGTGAAAAAACCGGCGTTCCCCTTTAACAAGGCTCAGCTTGTTCCTGTTTCTAAGGAAATCTACAATCATCTCCCTTGTTTTGTTGACATTTAGGATCAGAAGATTGTTTCCGCACCATGCCACAACACTCTCTGTTTGTACATCTGTCATGCAACCAGTGACTGCAAACTCATCTGGTATTTCTGCAGATGACAGGACTCTGTCTGGTACTGGAAGTCAGAGGTATACAGAATATACTGTCAGGGTGACAGTGGCTTCTGATGTAGGATATCGAAGGGTTGTTGGTTCAAACCCCCCGCTTTGGGTGTCATTGTGTCCTGGGGCAAGACCGCAGCCTTACTTCTGTCAGTGAGCCCCAGGGCAGCTGTGGCTACAATGTAGTTTGCCACCATCAGTGTGTGAGTGAATGGGTGACTGAATGAATGTACTATAAAGCGCTCTGGTCACGTCCCCTGACATGAAAATCATACGGAAAGTGTTTAGAATTAAGTTACACAGCAGACCTTCAGTTTCATTTTCTCCAGACGGGAACATTACAACTGAAAAAACTGCCACTTTTTCCATTAAGCTCAATAGTCTGTGACAAGGACAAGACATGTAGCAGCATGATTCAAGAAACCAGTCACTTCCAACGGCACATAACGTGTTGTTCAATGGATTTCTTCAGAAGGATTGTCATCATCCAGGAAAAGGACATGATGTTTGCATCTAAGATCAAACCTTCAGTTGTTTTCTTGAGAAACGACTGATACTAGAGCCTGAGGGGGATGAATGGGGTCATACAGGAAGTCAGGATTCATCCCACATTCTCCAAAAACATTCAACTTTGACTGCTCCACAGGTTCTTTATAACTGTTGTGAAAGTGGACAAGCTGCAGCCATATTTAAGCGTAGATTTCAAATTGAAGTGCCTCTTCTGTAGGAACATCTGATCCCCTCAGCTACCAAACAAATGTAATGAACTCATGTTATGCTGTGCTTCACTGCCTGCTATAGAAATAATAAAATCTTTGCTTATTGTTTAAAAGTTGTTCAGGAACTGATAGAATGGCGAGATACCAAATCCGAGCTCAGTGTCAGAAGATTGTAGAGTTATTTAGATGTTCCTGGTAATAACGCAGGTCCCTGCATGTCATTAAGCTATAGTAATCATCCTGGGGCGCAGGCAGAGCTGTGCCTTCCTGCTAGGACATGCCCCTTTATGTCGGAGTGTGAAACATAAAGCCGCCGTTCCATTTCCCCCCTAGATTTCTACATCTGTGTGACTTAAGACGAGAAGACCGAACATGATGAAATCAGGTCCTGTCACACCTTCAAAGCTGGAACGGCAAAAGCAAACTGAGCAACTGCTTAGAGCCACATGGTGAGAAGACTGACAACAGCAACTCCACAGCTTTAGTCAGCTTATAGAAGGCGTGGGAGCGATCTGATCATCTGACTTTGGATTGCAGGAATAAATATAATTGGCAGAAATAAAGGGACCCAAAATTAAATGTAGTTTAGATTTAAATGTTGCTTTAAATGTTCTGAAAAGCCTACAGAAATGAATGCTGTTAAGTTTATTGTTTTCTATGGCTCTGCTGTGGCAGAGGAGAGATGAAAGGTAAATGCTCTCTATGCGGTTTTCTCCATCCAGAAAACCAAAGTAAATTAAGTCTATTAAATAGCTTTGGGTTGTTTCAGAAACTAACACAGTGTCTGGTTAAAGAGATATCGATGACTTGATTACCAGGTGGACCTAGATAGACTGTTAACCATCCACGGTCTGTGAACGTCAGTGACTGATAATCAAACGCTCCCTCTCACTGAAGAATATAGATAGAGCCATCAGCTGTCAGTGCTAAGGTCTGCTTACCAGAGATGGGAAGTAACGAAGTACAAATACTTCGTTACTGTACTCAAGTAGATTTTTCTGATATTTTTACTTTACTTTACTACTTATTTTTATGGCGACTTTTTACTTCTACTCCTTACATTTTTACACAAATATCTGTACTTTCTACTCCTTACATTTTAAAAAATTGGCTCATTACTTTAGTTTTGAATCCTTTCAATGGAGTTACCGTTATTATTTTTCACGTCATCAATACCAAATTCAATCTAATTGGATGGGAATCTACGTTGCATTTGACGCACCACTACAAGATGAATCGACAGATTCGGCGGTATTCATTGGCGGCAAATCATTGCAGCTTGGTGGCGGCGGTGTTAGCATAGTAGCATGGACGACAAGATGATTGAAAATGAACACAACGGAGATCTAGTCCTATTGGCAGACATCCATTTAAAATGTAGGAAACGGCATGAAAAAAGTGGTTTCTACTTTTACTTTTATACTTTAAGTAAATTTACAAGCCTGTACTTTGTTACTTTTACTTGAGTAAAGAAGTTTAATCAGTACTTCCACTTTTACCAGAGTATTTTTTTAACAGAAGTATCTGTACTTTTACTCAAGTACGGAAAGTGAGTACTTTTGCCATCTCTACTGCTTACATACTATGAGCTTTAACTCCTCATTACATTAGAGAAAAATGTACAGTATGCTCTGTTCTATGATATACCAGGACCGGGCCAAGGTCTAGTCCAGTCTCAGGTTCATTCATCGCTGGGGGTGTGATTTAATAAAGGATATCTCTCACAGTTTAATGAAGACTTTCAACTAGAGCAGGGGTCACCAACCTTTTTAAGGCTGAGGGCTACTTCATGGCTACCGAGTCATAGGAAGGGCTACCAATACTGACCTCTGAACTGGAGGTATCAGTGATCACCTACAGTAAATCTCATCCATAAAAACTCATTTTTATTCTTATTTTATCCTCTTTTATTCATTTCTAATTTTCTTTTTAATATTGTCATTTTGAAACCACTGAAATATGATGAAATAGTTAACATGATGAAATAATACATATATGATTAAAAAGAAGAGCAACAGAATAAAAAAAAAAATTAAACTTAACCCACTGAGTGAGTTCATCTGTTTTCAGAAGACGAAGAGGGCCCCCCATGTGGTCCTTGAGGGCCCCCTGGTGCCCACGGGCACCGCGTTGGTGACCCCTGAACTAGAGTATCTGGATTAAGCAACAAACTAGCCCTTTAAGGAAAAAAGACCTAAAAAAAATATCTGTAAATGAAAGAACTGATTTTATACCAAATACTACTGTATAAAACCAACTAATTTTTCCATCCATCCATCCATCCATCCATCCATCCATCCATCCATCCATCCATCCATCCATCCATCCATCCATCCCAGGATGGCAGGGACTGACCGGTGAGACAGGTGCTGGTGGAGGTGGAGTTGGAGCAGGGGCACGGTGCACAGGCTTGGGTCTGGTCGGCCCCTGGGCTGCGGTAGAAGCCAGGCTTACACTCCTCACAGTTGGACCCCTGGGTGTTCCCCTCACAGTTCAGGCACACTCCTGGAAGAAACATCAAACTTTAGCTTTCATTCTTGTCTGATTTGTTTATATAAATAATGATGAAAGTCTAGAGATCAACTCTTCCCTAAATCTCTACTAACAACAGCTTTGGTGCCACTGAAAGCAGCGTATAATCCCCTAAATGCCTCCTCATGGAAAAAACTCAGTGTATCATGTTATGCTGTGGGAAGATATAAGAGCTGGAGGTGAGGAGAGGTGGGTCCTCTGGATGATTTGCCTTTTGGTGCTGAGTAAATGTAGAAAAATTTAAATTCAGTTCTATTAATATAGCACTAATTTCCAACATACGTCACACTAAAGCGTTTGCAGACTGTTCAGTCTAACCCTACAGACCAGATGGGTAAAAAAAAATTTTCTAAGGAAACCCAGCTGATTGAGACAGGGAAAAAAGATCTTTTCTTGCTTGCTTTTTGGTAACATGCTAAATTTTGTAAGGTTGATTTGCTGTTTTTATATGTTTTCACTTTTGCTTTTATTGTATATTTAGCTTTAGTTTAAAGGAATACTCGTACTCGTACGCACTTTCGTCTGGTTTGGTCTGCCGCGGTTTCCGTAGACTCGTGAACGCGCTTTTAGGAAATCCTATACACTACTGTTTATGCTCTAAAAACATTCTAAATGACTTTGTTTCGAGTAAATTCTGGATGCTACCCACTCAGGACACTTGGAATACATTGGACGAGCAGTATGGAGGAATATTGACAAGTTTTTTGTGGACTTTTATGGACCTTTCTGCCTCGGTCACCATAGACCTCCATTATTTGAATGTCAGCAGACAGCAAGAAGCCTCCCAGATCTCCAGATGCATTTGAGATATCAAAAAAGTACTCCAGAGTTTTGTTCAGCATGGGGGTGAGTAGAAAATGAAGGCTAATCATGTTTTGGGTGTACTATTCCTTTAATGACAAACATGGTTATGGTTATGACGGTGAGCTTTCAAAAACATTCACTGACCATATCATTAGATGGCTGTGTATTTCTGTATGCTTTAAAACTTATATTGTGAAAAACATTAAAATCAAATATGGAAAACTTTCTTTTATCTCTGCTTTTGTCTCCTTGAACCCCAGTGGGCCTCAGCAGATGGCCGCTCACACTGAGCCTGGTTCTGCTGGAGGTTTCTTCCTGTTAAAAGGGAGTTTTTCCTCTCCACTGTCGCTACAAGCATGCTTAGTGTGAGGGATTTATGAAGAGTCAATGAGTCGATGCAATCAACTGGTTTTCCTTAGATAGAAATCTTTGAATCAATGTGACTGGATGATCTGGTAACTGTAAAGTGCCTTGAGACGACATGTTGTGAATTGGAGCTATAGAAATAAACTGATTTTATAATTGAATTTTAACAGGAAGAAACCTGTAGACACATATAAGGAAGATAGATAGCCCTGATCTTAGCATTATTATAACCCAATATTATTGTAAAAACAAGTGTTGGATTATTTTTATGTGAATATGTTTATGTGAATAATTTTAATATTTATTTTACAATGAAAGCATGACATCAGTGAAGCTGCAGTTATGGTGACTTTACTGCACCAGCAGTAACTGATAGGAGGAGGAATGACGTGGTGATGAGATATGAAAACAAAACAAAACAGGATTTCCATTAGATGCCAGGTTTAAAGCTTCAGTTTACCTGAGAATCTACAAAACACACATTAGTCCTTTTCAAGTAAAAGGATCAAATAATTTTTGGTATTTTCTAGCATTTCAGTAAAAATTGGAATATACTTCTAAATAGGATTTTAAATGTCTTATCTTCTGGGTTTTAGAGTATTTTGGGGGGTATATAAAGTCACCAGTGACTTGGATAAAAAAGTTTTTTATTTAAAGGTGTGCAATATATCACAAACCCAAAGGCCAGTTTTTACTCTCCAAGAACGGTTCTCTTTCTTAGGTTTAGGATATTTTTAACCGTCCTCTGGGCAGAACTTTTAGCCGGTGTCATGTACAACATGTGGCATGAATAAAAAATTTGCTGGGCATGGTTAATGCACAAAAGCTTTATCCTGTGTGTCAGCTGTAGTCAGAGGCTGTGAAGGAGCACCGAGTTATTTATTGAGGTATGAAATATTTCAGCCAGAGCAAACTGTTTTTGAAAAATGGAAACCAATATATCAGTCCTTGCAAAGTGAGCAGAAGCCTCAATAAGTCTGGAATTTATTTGAATTCCTTTTACATACAGTAGCTCCAGATCACATCATCTGCCTCGAGGCACTTTACTAAATTTTTTGGATCATGTAGTAAAAGGAAAGGATCTCTCTACATCTGACTTCAAATCATGCTGTATTCCCCAATAAGAAATATAATAAGAAAGATGTCACCCTGCTTTTCCTGTTTTATACTTCATTTACAAAAGGAGATTATTTTAAAATGACATCACATTAAATCCCTGCTGAGGTCTCCTGAAGTTCACATCTTTTGGGACATGTTTGCTCCGTGTGTTTCCGTCTGAGCAGCCGTGGGGAAAAGGCCTGGGTCGGGTTCTAACAGGAGCTGTCAAACCTGAGCTTTGTTAATCCGCAGCACATTGACCGCTGAGCCCAGGAGAAGGCTGCAGCTCTCCATCTGCCCCTGCTTTAGAATGGGAAGACATATGGCCTCTCAAAGTGCCACCCCCACAACACACAGTGCCCCCTCTGAACCCCCTCCCTCTCTGCTCTCTGCCCCTGGTTGTTGGCTTAAGCATCAAGGCCTGACTGCTGGTAGGCGAGCAGCAATCCCCCATTACACACAAGACAGAGGGGGCGATACGTTCATCTTATATAAGGCTGAAAACTGGATTAAAGATCAGGGCAGGTTGTCACAGCAGTAAATTAGGACCAGAAAACGATTGATAAAGCTAAAGCCCAGACGTCCTGAATGCATCTCCATCCATCCTCTCATCAATTCTAAGCAGTGTCTCTGTTCCTGATGGAGAGAAGCGCCCGTACGCCACCATGATGCCTCATTCCATAAATTTTAGATCTGAACTGAACAAACCACCTTCTTCCGCATGTTGCAAACCGGGTGTCTAATGGCTTCCTGTTTTTTTATTTTGTTTTTATTTTATTGAACTTCGTTGATCTCACATTGAAGAAATTTACCTCTGCATTTAACCCATCCCCTTGGGGAGCAGTGGGCTGCCATTGTGCGGCGCCCGGGGAGCAATCAGGGGTTAAGGCTCTTGCTCAGGAACCCAGAGAGGAGGGAATTGCAACCTTCTCAGAGCACAAACAAACTACTCTAACCCTCTAGCTCAGGCATCCCCAAAGTCGGTCCTGGAGGGCCGCTGTCCTGCAGGTTTTAGAGGTTTCTGTGCTCCAGCACAGCTTATTTACATTGGTAGCTGATTAACAGGCTTTTGCTGAACTTCAATAATCAGAATGGGCTGTGCAAGAAAAACTTGCACAGCTGTTTCTGATGCATGGATAATGTCGTCCCATCAACAAGGTGATTTTCTTTGACAAACTTCTGAAACCTAAACCCGAATATTTGACTGTGAGATCTGGTGAACTGTACAGTGTCTTGAGATGACATGTGTCGTGAATTGGCGCTTTATAAATCAACTGAATTGGATTAAATAGCTGGATTTATATTGAGATGAAATACTTCAGAGGCGTATTGACTCGTTCTGCTCATCTGGAGGATACTGGCTGGACTGAGGAGATCAATTCGACTATTCTTTATTTTGATTATTCTCCTTCCTCTTTCCAATTATGTCAAACTTTAGAACAGGGTTTGAATACTTTTGTAAAGCCACAGCTTATGTATATCCGTCACGTCGATCGGCCAGTAGTTACTCCCAACGTCCCTTTTAAGCCGTAAAGTGGGCAGTAAATCCTGTAATTACTGTGGAGCTGTGGGTTAGCAGTTAGAGGAAAATGTCTGTGGCTTTAATTTGGGGGTCGCTGTTTCTATTTGTTCTAGCTCTATAAATATCCAGTGAAGAGATTGTTGATCTTTATGTTCAGCAGTCCAGATTCGGTTTCTAGATAAAGTAAAAGGACCAGAACAAGTGATGAGCAAATTACTTCCAACTTATAAGCAACAGAAACAACGTGCAATCATTTGCCTTAATTTCCTTTCATGATTCGGTAATTTTTCTTTATATAAATAAGGAAAATAAATAAAAAGAGCTGAAGCTGTAAAGCTGGAACAGCTGAGGAATATCTGACAGCTTCTCAGAAAGCTCAGTGAAAACAGAACTGCCTGTCAATCAGCTGCAAAAGGAAACATTATTTTCACATTTCTTTTACAAATATTGTTCTTTTTTATTAACTGAATTGATTTTTTTATTGTTTTTTTTTAAACTCCATGTTTTGAACCAATTGGAGCTTTAAAGGAGTCTGATTTGGAAAAGAGTCCAACCAATTTCTACCAATGGTTAAACATAAGAGTTGACAGAAAAATATCCTTTTGTCCCTTCCTTTGAAATATTATGTTGTATTTTGGCTTTAAAAGTCCTTAAAATGAGGCTCAGTTTTGTTTGTAGCTCCACTTGACTGTACGACCCTACAACCTGGGCATGCTCCTGATGAGGTGGCCGATGGTCTCCTGAGGGATCTCCTCCCAGACCTGGACTAAAGCATCCACCCACTCCTGGAAGGATGCAGGCATGATGTCCCAGATGTTCTGTTGTTCAGCAATCGCTAAAATCAGATGTTTTCTGGGATTTTCAGAAAATATTAAGGGATGTCAGTTCACCGTTCACGAGCATGGAACTTGTCTGGGACTGTTTTTTTTTTAGAATATTAAAAAAAAAAAAAAAAAATCAATATTTTATTTTACTAAATAATAATTTTGTACATTTTATCTATCAATGCTTTTCCAGTTTTGTGTTAATTTAATTACAGGTTGGAATTTATAATTTTCTTTAATGAGAAGATATGAAAACCTTTACACTGCAAAAAATATAAATCTAAATAAGTCATTTTTTCTTAAATTAAGTGCATTTTTTCTTGAATTGAGGATGTAAGTGATACACTTTGCCAATGGAACAAGACGATTTACATTTTAAAATAAGAAAAAACTATTGCTTAGTCTTATTTCAAGTGCATATTTTCTAATTATCTTATTTTAAGTGTAAAAATACTCATTCCATTGGCAAACTATCTCATTTACCTGCTCAAATTAAGGTTCAATATACTTGAGTTAAGAAATTTGTACTTGATTTCAGATCGTTTTTGCAGTGTAGACATAACTGTATACATGTGGATCTTTGTTTTCTTGAATATGTGATTCTATCAAGCAGTTCACATGTAGATGAAGTCAAATGTTTCTATATTTGCCTTTAAAAGGTTCTCTATCCGGCTTTTTCTTCCAAATTCAACTATAGGCAGATATATGATGAAATGTTACATTTGGCATTTAATTGTTATGAAATTTTATCCAACCTGGAAGTAAGACTCTCAGCTTCACTTCAGAACCATCTCCCCCAGTGAACCCCCCCCCCCCCTTTTCATCTCATCCTAGACCTGCCATTTCTGCTCATTATGCTCTTTTTAAGGAAGGCTGAACAAAAGCCGAAAAAACACATTTTCTCACCTTGAGCATGAACCAATGATCAGTTGCTGTCACTGTGCAGATCAGCTAAAAGATTTACTTTGCTTTAACTTTGAGCAGAAAGGATCGCGCTCTGCTTCACATCACCGCTCTCTGATTGCAGAAAGTGGGCGTGTTGTTTACAGGGCAGGCATGGCGTGGTCCAAGTCGGTGGCCCTGAAGGAGGCGGGTAATCACAGCTTCATGCAGACCTGTTTTGGTCACTGGTTTTTCCAGGACAGGGAGGGGCTGTTGCTCACAGAGCAGGATTTCATGAGGATTTCTCAGACAAGCATGAATCAAATAAATCCCAATTTGGTCTGGATTTTTAACGAAAATATAACATTAGAACATAACTAAAAGTTGATTATGCAGCACAGTGCAGGCGTTTTAAATAAACAGGAATCTGTTCTGGCTCTTTGGAAGATAAAAAAGTGAGAAACCCAGAGAACTAAAGCCCTTTCCTACCCCATCTTCTGCAAACTCACCGGACTGTGGGTGGCAGTAGCTGGTGTGGTTGTTGCACTGGCAGGGCCGACAGCCGGTGTTGCTGAAGTGGAAGAAACCAGGGTGGCAGTCATCACACTTGGTCCCGTACACTCCTGTCTTACATGTGCAGGTCCCTGAGCTGGAAGGAAGAGCAGGACAAAGAAAAATATAAGGGAACTTTTTTTGGATAAACAAAACCAAAACCGCTTTAGTTAAACACTACAAATTAACGAAGGCTTCTCTCCCAGGTGAAACGCTTTAACTCTCCAGGAAGTCATTTGTTGGCCACCCTGTCGCTGCTTTTTAGGTATAATTAGTTGATTTTATTGAGATTCTGATCATTTGTTTATCTCTTTGTGAGGCTGAGCAGTCTGGGAGGGAGTGGCTCACACTTTAAAAGAAAATAAAAATTGGAAAGTAAATCTGTTTATCAGGTTTCACCTGCGCAAAAAGTGGAGAATAGGAGAGTCCTTTTTTTCATTAAATTTCCCCTAGATTATGCAGGTAAGACAACTTGACAACAAAATGAAAATAATTTACGTTTAAAATAAGAAAAACAAGTCTTATCTTGAATAAAGTGCATATTATCCAATTATCTTAATTTAAAGGACCTAATATACTGAATCCAGTGGCAGATCATCTTTTTTTATCTGCTCTAATGAACTAAAAAAATATTTATTTTGTTACCAATTTTTGGATCAGTTTTTGCAGTGAAGGAGCAGAGGAGAGGACGTTGGGTCAGAGGATTTAGGATGTTTTTAATGCCACCATTGGAAGCATGATACACAAAAAGAACTGACACATGACACTTAAACTGATGAGAGCCACAAAAACTGACGGACGGAAAAGGAAGGAGCTAAGCTCACTTTATCCCGCTGCACATTAAAGCTCCGGTCGGGTTGGTGTTGCTTTACAGAGTGAGACTTTTCTATCGCCCTTCCTTTATGCAAATTAAGACGGCAGGGACAAGAACCTGTAAACAAATTACATTAAAATGACGGAACTTCCCATATTCGTCAACGGCAGATTGTTTGAACGGGAAGTTGAGCATGAGGATTTCTATGCCTGAATCGACGTCAGCCGTTGATAAATGATGCCTATTGTGTGCTTGTTTTTAGAGGAGTTATATCAGCACTGCAGCATGTATGACACAGGTAGCAGAACTGTGAGTCAGACGTGGGTCCGATCCGGTCTGACAACTTATGTCACTGCAGCTTCCTTTTTTTTTTCCAACTGGAAACCTGAAAAGTAAACTTCCATTCATGGGGAACAGGAATCTTATCAGAACCTATTTACTGACCGTTACAGATTTCTACTTTTCTTTAGAGTTTAAACTTCAGATTAGGTTTTGAACTGATCTTTCTGAGAAGCTGTCAGATTTACCTCAGCTGTTCCAGCTTTACGGCTTCAGCTCTTTTTATTTATTTTCTTTATTTATACGGTATATAGAAAAATAATGTAATTACCGAATCATGAAAGGAAATTAAGGCAAATGATTGCACGTTGTTTCTGTTGCTTATAAGTTGGATGTAATTTGCTCAGTAACAGGTAAAGAAAGAACAGTAACACAAAACATTTGCAGCGTAGGTCCCTTTAGAGATGTACTAGATGTGAAGCAAACAAAAATGGGGGGAATTATTGATCCAGAATTGTGCATCAAAGCAAACATTTTTATTCTACGTGAAAAAGTGTAACAAATAAAAAATCAATCTATTTATGCAATTCAGATTTCCAACAGTCTTATCTCAACACACATTATCAGACAAAAACAATCTTAACAATGTGTAGAAATATATCAGAAAGAATCCAGTTTTGTTGACGGATTCATGAACAGAAATTCCTGCTTGATCCTGGTTATGATAACAACAGACAAAAGCAGCTTCTACTGTCTGCTGCTAACAATCTGTCCAAAGGAAAACCAAGCTGACAGGGGCGGAGCTAAGGGGTCAGCAGGGGTGGCTGTGGCCGGCTCATTCAACTGCTCAGCTCAGAAATGTGAATATAATACAGAAGCATAAATAATTCATTAAGACAGCAGATATTTAAGATGCATTTAGATTTCCTGTTTCTTTGCCTCGTCTGTTCCTGTTTGGCTGTGACGTCATCCTGGAAAGAAACATCAGCTGTGCTGCTTCCATCAACACCCTTGTTTATAGATGTTGGAGATCGGCCTGTTTTCCAGTGTGGTCCTGTTTCTCTGACCGTGACTGAGTGGATGTGCTCTCTTCATCCTCTGACATGGGAGCTGGCTCGGAGCTCGTCTGCCTGGCTGTGTGCTTCCTGGACGGTTGCTTTTTGTGTCTCTGCTTCTGTCTCCTTGAACCCCAGTCGGCCTCGGCAGATGGCCGCTCACACTGAGCCTGGTTCTGCTGGAGGTTTCTTCCTGTTAAAAGGGAGTTTTTCCTCTCCACTGTCGCTACAAGCATGCTTAGTGTGAGGGATTGTATTTGAGTCAATGAGTCGATGCAATCAACTGGTTTTCCTTAGATAGAAAACTTTGTATCAATTTGACTGTATGATCTGGTTTAACTGTAAAGTGCCTTGAGATGACATGTGTTGTGAATTTGGCGCTATATAAATAAACTGAATTGAATTGAATTGAATTTTATTTAGACAACAGGAACCGTTGGAGAACTTTGCTTTGATGCATTTCCCTGAACGGGGAAAAGACATATATGCATCAAGGGAAACTGATCAGTTCTACTTTGTACCAGTTAAAACAAAAAAAAAATTACATAAAATTGGTCTCCGCCAGTCACGTGACATTTGTTGCTAAGATGCCATTTTAGGTGGAAAAGGTGTAGTGTAAACAACCGCAGCATAGCTAAACGAAGGACTAAAGGCCTGTTTACATAGCAGCCTGTCCAAGATAAGTCATTACAGTTAACATAAGCCTGAAAACAGGGGCGGATTTAGGAAAATCGGTCTCCGCCAGTCACGTGACATTTGTTGCTAAGACGCCATTTTAGGTGGAAAAGGCATAGTGTACCGCGCCCGAGGTAAACAATTGACGTCACTTGGCGGAGACCGATATATATTTTAAAGAAAAACATTTTATTTCAAGCTGCAATTGTCCATTATAACCCATCTGCATATTTTGATATCACATCGTGAATCGTCCATCCATCCATACATCCATCTTCTTCCGCTTTATCCGGGGCCGGGTCGCGGAGGCAGCAGTCTAAGCAGAGATGCCCAGACTTCCTGATCCACACACACCTCCTCCTGCTCTAGGGGGACATCCTAGGCGACACCAGGCCATAGTCATAGTCCCTCCTGCGTATCATGGGCCTTTCACAAGGCCTCCTCCCAATAGGACAGCGGTCCCCAACCACCGGGCTGCGGACCGGTACCGGTTCGTCTGTGATTTTTACCGGGTCGCACAAGCGGGATTTTGTGCGGTTACAGCGACCAAAACAAAGCTACGGAGCAGACAGGACATTAGGAGCATGTTTCGGAGAAACAAGCTCAGGGCTCTCACCGATTCAACATAATGGTGAGTTTTATTTTTATGCTGTTCGTATTTGATTTTATGCCAGTCTTATCATTTTTATTTGATTGTATTTACCCCGCACACTTTAAAGGCCGGTCCATGAAAATATTTCCTAACATATAACCGGTCCGTGGTGCAAAAAAGGTTGGGGACCGCTGCAATAGGACACACCTGGAACACCTCCAGAGGGAGGCGACCAGGAGGCATCTGGAACAGATGCCCGAGACACCTCAGCTGGCTCCTTAAGTCATTACCCAGATCTCATGACCGTAGGTGAGGTTGGGAAAGTAGATTGATTGGTAAATCGAGGGCTTTGCCCTTCGACTCAGCTATCTCTTCCCTATGACAGTCCGATACAGCGACCGGATCACTACACTACACTGGATCTTAGCCAAAAGGCAGAGAAGCGATATCACTGCCAATGTGGCACCGATCTGTCTATCAATCTCACGCTCCATCTGTCCCTCATTCGTGAACAAGACTCCATCCAAGATACTTCAACTCCTCCACTTCAGACCACCTTTCTCCGGTGGAGAACCATGGGCTCGGATTTGGAGGTGCTGATCCTCATTGTGAAACAGTTAATAATAAATAAAGAGAAGCCAAACTAATGTCTTCAACTTTAACATAAATCCTTTCTTTGTTTTCACTCAAAATTCAAGTACTGGATTAACAGTTCGATCATCATGTTGAAAAGTGGTAAGAAAAAAAAAACCTTTGTTTAATAGTTATGGCTTCATATTGCGCATCTCAGCCACTTTTAACAGCAAAAAAAAAAAAGAAAAGAGAAGAAAGTCTCCTCCCCTACTCTCACGCCATTTCCTCAGAAGAATACAAGTGGCTAAAAGTCCAGACAATGGCCCCAGAAACATAATCAGGGCACAATGACTTGTTAACAACTGAAGTAAATGTGAAGTGACGGGGGCCACTTTCCATAAGCGTGTGTGTGGGTCTTCACATAAACAAGCCTTTGTTAAAACAACAGCACTTCATGCAAATGAGGAGGCCCAGAGCTGGGCCAGATTCAGCGTAGGCGCTGCAGAGGACCCGGAGATCAACAGTCCTCATTTACCCCGGCCACACACAAAAATGCACACACCAGCTGAACCAAAATGTTCATTCGCTGAGTCACAGCCCTAAAACAGACACTTAAAAAAAAAAAAAAAACGCACACAAAGTGTTTAAAATAATCATTTAATGTTAGAACTTAAGGCCAGGGTTGAGTTTCTTCCAGAATAAACATGTTTCTTCCGGACAAAGGGAAAAAAAACTGGAAGAAAGTTTTTTTTTTTTCCTTTTCTTCCAGAAGAAACTGGGAGAAAGTCCAGTAATAGAGCATATTTAGGAGAAATTAGGAATTAAATATAAACTATTGGATACAAAAATTGCTACGTAACAAGATGTTGAAACACTGCACCTGAGAAACCCATCAGGGAATTACAAGTAATAATTTACTAATTGCCTTTAAAGATTACACCAGCTGCTTTCCTTTTTCTTTAATTTCTTCTGCTATAAATGCCCCCAGACCACCCCCGTTTATAGATATTGAACCTCACCTCAGAGTTATTACTGGATTTGGTTTGCTTAAAGCTAATTTTTTACCAAAAGAAAGAAAGCATTCCATTCAATTTCCCCTTCCAAGTTTC